GATACTTATTAGTCGGTGAGTCTTTATTTCAGTTTAAATTTTGATGCTGCTTGTTGTAAATGCATTTATCCACTTAGAGAATGCATTAGAATATGAATATCAAGTGTAGATTTCGCGATATTCTTGGTATTTGTATCGTAGATTTCTGGTTTGTTTTGATTCAAGATGGCAGTGCTACACATGAAGTAAATGTACTTAAACATAATCTCTTTGTTTAACATTATGTATCACAAGACTTTTGTAAAAAAAAAAAATGTGTTTTAGAGTCTTTTCTTAAAATATAAAGATTTGAAATGTGTCAATATCTGGGAACAGTTACTTAGAGTAGCCTCTGCATGAGCATGACGATAATAACAAATGAAATCCAAATGAACTGTGTGAGATAAAATTATTGTAATAGGGTCTTTGAAATACAAGATAAAGATCTTTGTTTTAAAAAGGGGGGGGGGTCAAATTTTTTTAATGAATCAAGCAAAATTTACAACCTTTATCCAGCATAATAAAACATAATAAATTTTATATTTATATAAGTTGTGCATAAATTTCTGATCATCTAATCCCCAAGCTCTCCACTTCCATACCTGGGGGGGGGGGGGGGGGGGGGGGTGTTAATATGAGACACATTATCATTTAATTCAGAGTGTAATGTTTCAATAATTCAAACATAGTGTGTGCATGTGTGTTGGTCATTATTAATGCCAGATAATTTCATGAACAAACATATTCTTTTTTTTCAACAGAATACTTGTCTCCTGTGGTCATTTAAATTCCAAGCTGGAGGGAAATGCATTAAAACTATAACTTTATCAGTAAGTATAAGATCTAATCTGATTTTTGTAAAAAATGAGTAAATGTATAAGAATATAACAAGGCACTGCTCATCAAACTCCAATGCAAACTATAGGGATTTCATCTACTAAATATGTTTAAAAATATTTCAGCATAAAATGTAACTAAGTAAGTGAAGACAGGGACCTATATACTAGGTCCCTGGTGAAGAGCAACATAATAATAATTGAACTTTTTCAGAATTGAAAGAAAATGACATGAAACTGAAAGCCGAAATTGCGTAGCATATTCAAATGGAGGATCAGTGTTTTTAAAGAGTCCAGATGGAAACCGCAACTGTAAAGCAATGAAGACTAACAAGGTGTGCTGGTAGAAAATTCTGTGATGGATAGGAACTCTATAAAGATAATGAAGATTACATGAACTACAATTGAACAATTCATGGGGAAAAAAAAATTGACATGAAATGGAGTATACTTTTGACTTTGTGTATTTAAATTAACTTATGTATATGCCTAAAAAGGTATGTCTATTTATTTCTTTCATTTTTTCTTATTAAGAAAGTTTAAAATATCATTATCTTGATGTCATTAACCATATTAATCTAAATTAATTAAATGTTAGGGATTTGATTAATTAAATATTTGGGATTTCTTAGGTATAGATTGTATTTATAGAGATGACTTTTTTAAAGAAGTGTTTTTCATATATTTTCATGTACTATCATGCAATAAATTTTTATTTTTTCCATAATTATTATTGTTTAAATCAATTTTTCTTTTACATAGGCCTGCCTCAAACGTGCCTATTTGATAGGTACATTATAGGCATACCTTAAGTATACTTTTGGCACAGACTCTTGAGTACCAAATTGGTAGGCATACTTTAGGTAGACTTGTAGGTACATTTTAGGTATACCTAAAAGGTACTCATCTGAATGTTTGAGGTGTGTACCAATATTGTGCTTTTTTGGTACCTAAACTGTAGGTATACTTTAGGTATACTTTTGGCACATTCTTGAATGTTTGAGATGTGTGCCAATATTGTGCTTTTTTGGTACCTAAACTGTAGGCATACTTTAGGTATACTTTTGGCACATTCTTGATGGTACCTTTTAGGTATATTTATAGGCACATTTTAGGTATGCCTAGAAGGTACCTATCTGATCGTGTGCCAATATTGTGCATTTTTGATACCTAAAGTGTGCCTATTAATAAATATAGGTATACTTTAGGTATGCCTATTTTGTATCAATTTGCTACCTATACTTGAACAAGTGGTTCCAAACTTGCATACCTTAGGCATGCTTTTTTTGTACCTATTTTTACCCAAGATAGGCATGCCTAATCTGTACTTTTTTTTGGTATGGGCGATATCGACATTTCTTTTTAGTGCAGGTATCACTTTCACGACACTATTAACTTGAAGAATGCGTGAAAGACAATATATAACAAGCATTATTTGCTTTTCGGAGCTGTCGAGCACATTTTAAACTTGTACAAGTTTACTTTAAGGGCAATATGATGGACAAAACAAACACAATATAATTCCATGTTTATGCAGTAGCCTGAAATTTGGTGTGCTAGTTACTATGGACAGAAATGTATTTGTCCAGGTAATATTGAACCCACTGCACTGTTTAATTAAAGAACAATGCTAGCGAAGCCCTGAAATTGAGAGTTTGAAATAATGTTACAGTATTTAATTGTCAGTTTTACATCGTCACCAATGATTTTTTTATAAAACATAAGATGATTTAAAAGCATAACTGAATACAACTAATTTTCTTAAATTCTCAAATATTCCTCAATGCACCCTTTATTAATTCATTCATTTCAATAAACAGTACATACCATATTTGCTGTAGACCTATAGGGTCTAGGGAAAAAATAAGATGTTATAACAGATTTATCATTAACTGTCTTGATCATTGTTCTTGAAATGTGGTCCTTGGGAGTCATCTCCCTTGATATATTATATTTGTTAACATGAAGCCTTTAATTTTTTCATATTGATAAACATTGATTTTTATTGCAGTAGTTTTAGAAAATGGCTAAATTCAACAAAGGTTAACCTTAATAATTACAGGGTGTAAAGAAATTCAATTAAAATCAGAACCCTATAGCCTTGAATGTCAAAGACAAATTGAAATTTTACAAAGTCTAAAGCATATATGCCATAGTATTTGACAATTTTTGACACATATATTTGTATGACTTCTGCCAGAAAGGGAATAAAAAAGAAGACAATTAATTCTTGCAAGTTGTATATTTTCCATAGACTCTGGCTGGTATACAAGGCATGCTCTGTTCAGATAAATATACCATGCTATATGCATACATTGAACATGTTTGGTCAATTAACTGAGTTTAAACAGACAATTATATAATTGTAGCATTATTTGTTTCTTCAGAAAATATGTCGTGGCTTTTTTGGCCCCTCTCTATAATGACTTCATTGCAAAATCTCTCAAGACTGTCAACTATAAAGCAAAAGAAAAATATTGGGTTTGAATATTTAACCAGCACAAATACAGCGTAATAGTGTCAGATTTTTACATGTACCAGTATTGCCACTTGTATGTAAAGTTGCTAACCATTTGGTAAGTGCTTTCCTTTTTTGACTGTATAATTGCAATTTGGATTCCATATTGTTTTGCTGAGGCAGTAAATTTCCCTTTGATCCATTTCCCCATTAAGTTAACACTAAATGGTACATGGCATTATTGTGGACAGATTAATTGTGTATTTGAATTTTTTTCTGATAATCCATTTCCTCTTGGTGGCATGTTAATTTACATGTTTAGAATTTTCTGTGTATACCCAACGGTTGTTGTGAATTGTTTTATCTTAAGCCAGTTTGCATTTATTATTAGTCCCTGACTATTTTTAGTCACCAGTTAACTTTTATTTGAACAAAATAATATGAAGGATGCATCGAAATCAGAAAAATTGATTAGTGTTTTGTTGAAAAGGTATTGAGTGTTCTTTTTTTTCTTTTATAAAGATTATATTTTGATTAATAAATGGAGTTTTTTCAAGTATGGAAACCTTAGCAATCAACTGCTTTTGGGCTAAAATTGTTATTCATATCATTAAAATTTTCACAGTTGATGGCATCAAAGCACATAATATTTCAGTTAATTTTACTGTCAGTGGATTCATTTTCTTGTTCATTATTCTCACACTGAAGAATATATAGAATGCATAATTTCAAATTTGAAAAAAATGAACATGAGGATGAAAAACTTTGTCATAGCTGGTAGAATATGCAGATGTATGTGATTAATCAAAACTTTTAATTATGTAATGAATTACTGGGAGAAATGAATTCATCAACAACATTTTAACAAAATGGCAGTTGTGTGAGAGATACAGAAGAAATACTGTTTGTCTCTGTTACTTTTATTTCCAGATTCAAAAAAAAATGATTTTAAATTGCATTTACATTTTAGAGTTTCTTACTTTTGATTTTTTTTATAGATGATATTTTTGAACTTAACCAATATCTCCATGAGCAAGATAAGCTGAAATTACCTATCCCAGGTGAACCTGATGATCGAATGCTTTGTGTTTTAGTTTTATATTCACTAATATGGAAGCTTGTTTTGAATGAGCTTTAATTGTTTTCATCATTGTAAACTTATACTTCTTTTAAGGATCAGCTTACATTGTTAATTCAATATGAACAGTTATGAAATATGCTTTATTTTTTATTCATGCTTGTCAATAACTTGCAATTTGCTGCCAAAGGTTGCCAACGGAACTTTGTCATTGGTGAAAATAGTTTTTCTGCATTTTATTTGCCATTTTATTCTCTGACCATACATTGACAATTTCAATCATATTTCATCATTGTGTGTGTGTCAAGAATACTTGGATTTTGCCCTAACTTACAAGCTGCTTGAAGATCTTTTTATCTATCATTTATATTCAGAGAGCACTTGAAGATTTGGTACTGTTTAAGATAAGCGGTTACAGTACTATGATTAATACTTTATGTATTTGATGTGTTCTGGGTGTGAGGTTAATGTTTATGAATTTTTGTATATGATGTCCGTGTATTGAAACAAAATGTAATTTGTATTTGCTTAATATAAATAACCTTTAATTATTGAAATTGATGGATTGAACTTTAGTTACTTTGTTCAGGACAAGTTGAGGCTTTTTTCATAGTTAATTATAATGTTTTTGATTACCTTTTATTTTTAGAGGACAAGCTACATGGCCACTTTGTTCGTCCTGACCATTATGTAGTGACCTGGTGGTGTGGCGATAAAAACGATGTCCAGAGTGAAGAGACTAAAGGTAGGAGGAATTCAATTTGATGATTTTTATTAAAAAAAAAAAAATAATAAATAAATAAGTGAACACAACATATGTTGTTAATGTACTGTTTTTTTGATTTTCAGAGGATCATATTCTGATCACTGGGCTCCATCCAGCAACAACATACACCATAGTCGTTGAGGCGCGTCGTATGGAGAATTACAAGGTCGAAGGTCAGTATCAGTTAATTCTTGTCGAGAATTTCTTGAATAAGTGAATTTGATTAAAAATCAATCATTTCAAGCAATTACATTCAAAATGATTTTTCAGAATTAATATTTTTGTAAATTCAAGTTAATATTATTAAGTAGTAAAGATTTTGATGTATACATGTAAAAAAATTTTTCTGTTTTGAAGGAGAAGAAAATGACACCACCAACAAGTTTATCCTAACCGCCCAATCAGAACCTCTGACTCTGAGAACGGCCCGCCCACCTGACCCGCCCAGTAATCTGTCGATAGCTGCCTCAACATGTAATGCCCTCAGACTTGTCTGGGATCCACCTGTAGAACATGGAGTGGAAATAATAGGTGTGTAGATGTTTGAAAATAAATTGCAAAATGCCACCTTTGCAGACATCAAAACTCAGAAAATTGTGGAACATTCATTTTGTGATTGAAGCATATAATTGAATTATGGGTCTGATAAGAGTCAAAAGTTTAAAAAAAAAAAAAAAAAAAAAAAAGCCTCAACATAATTTTTTAAGAAACAAGTTTTCTGTCTTTTGTCAATATGGCACATGTTTCAGAAATTGTAATTAAAAAGGCTTTTGGCAAATAATATGGACATTACGAATAAGAGCAAACAACAAGCTAATCTTTTTTCTACTTAGTACTAGCTAGTAAAAAGTGAATAATTACATGGATATATCAAATTTTGGACATACTGAGACAATTTCAGCTGCCCTTGAGTAATCGCTATGACCATATTTTACTGTACAATCTAACTGTGACAAAATATATAAGAATTGATTTTCTAAATGCACAAGCACATTTTATTTTACAGCTATCCGTATTGATGCCCAGTCTATAAATACCAGTGACCCTCATCATGTGTCAGTAGAAGTACGACCAGATGAATGCAAGGCCGACATTGAAGGTCTGCGAGAAAAGACAGACTATGTTCTACGAGTCACAGCAGTTACTGATGAATATTTCGACAGACTTCCAGAGAGGCACAAGCTAAAGAAAGTCCGTTCCATTCCCAGAGACAGAATGGTTGCTGCTGATGATTCAATATGGCTGCCAAACACGTACACCATGGCCAAAACTGCTGGCACAGAGCCCCCGGCTAATCTGAAGATTGTTGAGTCTTCAACTTCAGGACTTTCAGTGACCTGGCTTTTACCAATTGTGTATGGATCTAATAAGTTAATTGGACAAGTTCTGAGATGGTCTGATGTGAAAAATTCCAAGAAAGGTGATAGTGAATGGTATGTGGCCAGCCATATCAACCTTGACCCTGCAGATAATAATGTGACCATTGAAGACCTGACCCCTGGGGCACAATATAAGATTGTAGTAGAAGCAGTGGTCAGCATCAAAACCTCCCTAGAATCTGCTGAAAACGACAAAGATATACAACGATACCGCAGAACTGCCAACGTGATGTCAAAACCTTTGTTCACAAGAACCAGGGCTCCAACAGAGCCCCCCAGGGTGTACATTACAGGTTACACCCAAACCACTGCCCAGCTGTATTGGGAAAAACCGCCCCTGGTGTCGGTCATTGGCAAGGAGAATGATGGACGACCTAAATATCTTAGGAGGTACTTAGAGGGGTATAAACTGGAAATTAATGACAGGCTTCATTCCTGTTTGGGACCCAATGCCCAGAGTTGTCAGCTGACCAAGTGTAAACCAGGCAAAAAGTACCGAGTGGTGCTGGTGGCACTGACTTGTACTGACCAAGGAAAGAAAGACCGCAAGAAGAAGGTACTGGTACAATTTGTACAGTATTGTCCAGAATCAAGATTGCTTTCAATGGAAAATAATTATTTTAGAAATTGAATCAATTTCCAGATAAAAATTGATCTGCATTTAGTGTATTTAGTAAACTACAGGTATCAGGGTAATTGTATTTGAAAGAGATAATAAAAAAAGTGATAGAACACTGTCTGGTACATTTAAATTTTTTATTTGAATAGAATTGATGCTCTGTGTGTGATACAATGTAATGTATTGATTTTCTATCTTGTGTTAAATTAGGAAATGATGAATTGCTGAAATGTCTCTTTGACAGTATTTAATGCAGCTTAAAAAATCCCCCCTCCAAAAAAAAATATATATTAAAAGATCAACATTGATTGATTTCTTCTCTAGTACAAGGGAGTATACAGAAATGTCAGTCTCCAGACAGTAGACTACTCGGCTCTACTCCAGGATGAGGATAACCTTGACCCTTCACCTTCAGAACCTCTGGAAGTTGTCCTCCCCAGGGACCAAGATGGTAAGTTGTTGGCTTAAACAATCTCTCTCAGTAAAAGTTTCATACCATACTGATTACTATGAGAAGTTAAAAATCTCTCTCTCTCTCTCTCTCTCTCTCTCTCTCTCTCTGATAATTATGCCTTGTTGTAGAAGCCTTTTTGATGTGCAACACTTAGAAACCACAATAAAATACCCTCAGACAAAAAAATGTACAATTGTCCTTCCAGGTTACATCAAGAGTTTAGAGTGCACATTCAAGCATGATGAGGATAGAGATAACAGTACATTTGGTGACATTGAACTTCGCTGGGAAACACAAGGGGAGAGAAGTGATGTCATCACTCACGTCAAACAGTTTAACGTTATCTGGTCCAACACTGAGGAGAGACAGGTCCAGACAAGAGTTGTCACTCCTGATGCCAGGAAAACTCTGATACCGGTCACAAGGTTAAAGTAAGTAGCAAAGCAGTTCTGACTTAAATTATAACATTGTGTGTCAATTATACTCAAATACTCCCAGGATTATGGATGCAGAGTGGTACATGTTAAAAAAAAATTTAAATTAACACTTTCATTGAAATTGAAGTTTATATAATAAGAGTTTTACCCCTTTTAATAAATATTCCTTTATGAAGAAAAGAAGTGCTTTAATTTCTGTCTCTTATACTATAAATAAATTGAGTTGTGATGTCAATATTTCATATATTTTTATGCCCCGGGATCGAAAGATCCCGGGGGTATATTGTTTTTGTCCTGTCTGTCTGTTTGTCTGTTTGTTTGTCTGTCTGTCTGTTGTCAACTTTAACCTTGCCCATAACTTTTGATTGGTTGGAGCTATGACTTTCATATTTCACATGTGTATTCCTTGTGACAAGACCTTTCTTTGGGTACCATCATATTTGACCTTTTGACCTTGACCTTGGAGTTTGACCCACTTTTGCAAAATTTTATGAGACTTTAACCTTGGCCATAACTTCTGAACAGTTGGAGCCTGGGGTTTCAAACTTCACATGTGTATTCTTTGTGACAAGACCTTCTTTTGGATACCAACCACTTTGACCTTGACCTTGGACTTTGACCTACTTTTGAAAAACTTTAACCTTGGCCATAACTTTTGAACAGTTGGTGCTTAGGGTTTCAAACTTCACATGTGTATTCCTTGTGACAAAACATTCCTCTGGATATCAACCACTTTGACCCTTTTGACCTTGACCTAGGAGTTTGACCTACTTTTGAAAAACTTTAACCTTGGCCATAACTTTTGAATGGTTGGAGCTAGGGCTTTCATACTTCACATATGTAATCCTTGTGACAAGACCTTCCTTTGAATACCAACGACTTTGACCTTTTGACTTTGACCTAGGAGTTTGACCTACTTTTGAAAAACTTTAACCTTAGCCATAACTTTTGAATGGTTGATGCTAGGGCTTTCATACTTCACATATGTAATCCTTGTGACAAGACCTTCCTTTGGATACCAACCACTTTGACCCTTTGACCTTGACCTAGGAGTTTGACCTACTTTTGAAAAACTTTAACCTTGGCCATAACTTTTGAATGGTTGGTGCTAGGGCTTTCATACTTCACATATGTAATCCTTGTGACGAGATCTTCCTTTGGATACCAACCACTTTGACCTTGACCTTGACGTTTGACTTTTGTTTAAAAAACTTTAACCTTCACCATAACTTTTGAACAGTTGTATCTAGGTCTTTCAAATTTCACAGGTGTTTTCCTCGAGACAAGATCTTTCTTTGGGTATCAACATTTTTTATCTTTTGGCCTGGATTTTGACTTGCATTTGAGAAACTTTAACCTTCGACATAAGCTACCATACGGGGGCATAGTGTTTCACAAACACATCTTGTTTTTTTTGTTGTCCTGGACATAAATATGATTCTAAGCTGAAATATCTTTATAGGGCGTCTTATGATATCCAAGTGGAACCAGATTACTTTACAGATGCCCTGCACCAGGTTAACCAGAAAATTCAGCTGGTTATTCCTGGTCCCCCAGATCCACCAGAAATCTTCCTGAAGTCTGTTAGCCCAGAGGAGTTTGTCATAGAATGGGGAGAACCTAAGCTCTTTGGAGGGGTCAAAGTTCGAGGTTACCAGGTCAGTGTCTAGGAAGGTTCAAGGCCATAAAGACAAGTATTGAATCAATTGTATTAGCTAGGATTAAGAAATCAATAGGTAGTGAATTAGGGGATTGAATGATAAGGGCTTGATGACAGTACATTGCCATGACACATAATGTAATAGCCTTAATAGGTAATTTGTAAAGCAAGGTATTGTTAAACAAGATTTGTGAAACCTCAGATAAGACTTTGACAGGTATACCAGTCTTATTTCAGATGCACCTATCAAATTTATCAGAATTTTCCATTGAACACTTTTACAATGTATAATGTGTGTTAAAATCGGTTGCTTTCAAATTTTCAAAAAAATAATCTCTGTTATATTCTGATTTCTCTTTTGTCACAATACACAGTTAATTTGTTGATATATGCATGTACAATTTGAAAATCCTTAAAAATGGGTTGAATATTTTAAATTCATATTTACAGTGAAATTGTTTATAGTGCGTTACTCAACAACTTAAACTGTAAATCAATCATTAAATGGAAGAAACATCACTGACCCAAATTTTGACCCTCCTAAAACAATGAAATATGCCCAGTTGTCATAGAAGAAAGTTTGATTTTCTCTAAGCATTTGGTACATGCATGTTTATTGTTCAACTCCAGAGTTTGACAGGTTACTGGTAAACACTCATAAGGCTTAGGTAACAGATCAATGTTATCTGAACAGTCCCCTGTCTGATTGTCTAGTGCTCTCTATTTTCTCTTTCTCCCATAAGGTGTATTTGATTTTTTTTTTTTCCCCATAAGCTCAAGTGTTTTGACATTAAGAATCCTTGTAGCAACATGGTTCCACAGTGGCACTTCATTTTAAGATGGCTTCCTTAATATCTCCATAGCAACCATGTCAATAATAATTCTCTTTATCGGGATATTTTGACAGATATTGATTTGGAGAACTTTTGTTTATCACCTCTTTCATTGTTAAGTGATACACTGTCTAGATTTTAATTTATTATTGAAGATAAACTTTCTTATCATGGACGTATTTTCTGTGTTTTATTTGGGATAGAGATTTGATCGGATTTCTTTCGTACAAGATTGAACGAAATTTGTAACCTGTCTTTTTTTCTGTTCTTTCATTTGAAGGTATATTTGAATGACAAGAAAGTGGGAAATGAACTTAGTAATTCTCATCGCAAGGCCGTAATACCATGCCGTCCAAATAAGTAAGTGTTTCAGTAAAACTTAATTAACAATTTCTTGTGAAAAAATTAATACTGGCTTTAGGACTATGCACTTTCACATCTATTATTTTAAGGTTTTTCTTTAAAAAATTTATTTGATATGCTGGGGATGTAGGGTTTTTTTTTGAAGGTGGAAGTGGGGAGGGATTAACAAGTATAAATATCGAGGATCTCACACGTAGCTAAAGAAAGTCTCTAAAATAGAAAAATGTCTTAGTACTCTTGTATGATTATCATGCCTTGAAATATGAAAAAGGTAGACAAAACATTTCTGGTAAGTACATATATACATTTCATTACTTTTGACTTGCAGGAACTACAAAGTACAGCTGGTGGCCTTGAGTGACAACTCATTCTACAGCGACTCATCCTTCTCTAACACGCTACTGGTCAGCACCTCCCCCCACTCCCCCCGCCTTCTGTCAGGGGAGGATATGGTCCGGGAGGATCAGGACATGATTCCAGTCAAGGTCACTACGGTCACAGAAACCTCCATACAATTGGACTGGTCCAACTTCATAGAGACAGAGGGGGTAACAGGATATAAAATTCAGTGGAGCAGTGTGGCACAACCAGCAGTATGTAACTCTTAGAGAAGAATTAAGGGGAAATGAAACTTTGCTGTAATATTGATAATTCTCTAACAAAAGATGAGAGAGAAATGAAATTATGAAAATCAAAGCAAATTTAGTATACCATACAAGGTGAAAAATGTGACGGTTATTAAAATGTAAAGGAAACATTGTGACTTATCAGTTTTAGAGCTATTACTGCTAAAAAGGCTTTAATCTTCCTTAAAAGGGTAGAAAACTTTAAAGCTCTTAAGAAAACTGAATACACTAAATAGGACACATATGGCATATGTTTGTATAAAAAGATCACACTTAAAATTTATGAATGTACAGTATTGTTTTGAAATATTTCTTCATGTAGTAAAAATCATAACATATGTAGCATATTTGTCAAAAAATCATTGGCTTTTGATTATTTAGTTTACTGATTTATAGACTGATGTATAAACTAAGTCATTAGTCAGTTTTTCACTTTGGTTGATGTGACCTTTTAACAGTTAAGATGAATGAAAAGTCACTTTATGATTTTCTTTCCAGCAAAGAGAGGTCAAACTATCAGATAAAGACAGTAGCTGTGTCATCAACAACTGTCTACCTGGGACTACTCACTTTGTTCGACTGATCGCTATCGACGCTGACGGACAGATTCTGGAGAAGTCCAAACAGTTGACCATTCAGACTTCAGCTCCACCAGATGCCCCCATTCTGTCTGTCAGGTACAAGTCAATTAAATAAGAATCATATACGGTAATAAAAATGAAAAGTGGTAAATTCTAAATGTATCATAGCACGTGCAAGATGATTTCTTTACTATGCAATGGTGGTGTCTTTTAAGTGTTTCTAAGTTTAGCTAGGAGAAAGGCTCAAGTGAGGTTTTCTGGTTGAAGTTTATTTACCTGTAATATCTGTCTTTTCACATTTTTGACCAAACTTGTCATAAAGCATCTTTGGCTGAAGGGTATTCATTCCTTCAAACCATATGTCCTTTTTCCCATTTAAAACACCAGTAGTGAAAAAATAAATGGGATTATTATAAAAACCCTCTCAAGAACTACTATGCTAAAACAAAATTGTTGTGAAAGCTTCCTTTTATATATGATGTAGATTAAATTTTTATTCAATTCATGGATGAGTGCTAGGATTGGGTCAAAGGGTTATACCTAGAATGTTTATAAAAAAAATTTAAATATCCTCTTTTCAAGAGGAGTAATAAGATGGTTATATAAGGCAACTGATATGCAAGCATCGCCATGAACAAAGATTAATAGAATCATTCATTACTACGAGTGTGGGATAGTGAAATTCCACCAAGGGGACAAGATTCACGGTCTAGGACGAGGCTTTGCCGAGTCCTAGACCGTGAATCTTGGCCCCGAGGTGGAATTTCACTATTCCCACACGAGTATGTAATGAATGATTATTTTTCTCGCATTATTTTATCCAAAATAACGGCCTGTCAATGACGTCGCCATGATAGGGCTAAAAATATATTCTTTTAATTTTCGATCTAATTAAAAATCTAAATACACCATCAGAGAGAGCGTACCTGAAAATGGTTTACACATAGTGTAAACTGATAAAATGAATTTCAGTCCATGTAAATTAATTAGATAGATAAAAACTGGGAATAAAAAAACTTATCTATCCGATAGCGTACACATTCATTCAAGAAGACCTTTCCGCGATCTAAAAATAGTGCCATTTAAAAAGTGAAAATACGACAATATTTTGAATGAAAATAAGTTTATCTTAATAAGTTAAATGACAACATTTTAAGTATATGTAATATTTTTTAACATTGTTACAATTTCTTTATATAAAGACGGAATGTTTACGTTATCGTTCGCGGCGTAGTAATACACAGTGTAACACAAAAAAATCTCACACTGCTGTCTCACACCGGACAAGTCAATCTTACACTGGTGATTATGCGAGAAATAGAATAATTATATCAAATCATAGTTTTGGGGATTATAGGTGGGATAGGTGTGAAAGGGTTGAATTTATAAATTGTGCTGAAATATGATACTTGATTTGATTTATATTTATACTTTACTTAGATTAATTTTCATCTTGTAGAGCTTGTAACTTCCGGTACATAGCAGTACAGTGGGAGAAACCCAACACATATGGAGATGCCTTAGTAACAGGCTACAAGGTGTACGTAAATGGCATTGTTGAGGCCATATTGAATGCAGAACAGATGAGCTTTACCTTCACACATGGGAAATGGTGCCAGGAATACGCTTTCCAGGTGCAAGCCCTGACTTCTTTCGAAAAACTCCACAGCAAAGTTTCAGAACCTCTAGTGGTGGTTTGGCCAGGATGTAAGGCCCCAGCACTGAAACGACTTGCCACCCACAGCAGTTCTTGTGTCAGAATTGCTTGGGATGATCCTTACCTCACAGAAGGGGTCAAGGTCAAACATTTCAGGGTCAGTATTTTCACTTTCATATTTTGTCAAAGAGAAATTCCAAAATCTGCCAGATTTATTTCTCCTGAAAAATAAAGATAAATATAATTGAATTTCATGATAATTAAAAAAAAGTATTTATTATACTGGTAATATTAAGCTAACACTTTGTGGTTCCATTATTTATGTCTTAGGCTGTTTGTGTGGAACGTGACACAGAAAAGGAAGTGACACCCTCTATTGGTCCAATTCATCCTAACACCAGAGAGGCAGAGTTCAAGAACCTTAAGCGAGGATCATACAGCATCTTTTTAGAAGTACATGTATGTACTACATGCCAATGTTGATATGTGGAATAATTATATTCTAACATAAAAGTAATCTACTGAATTCTCCAGTTCTGTGTTTTATAAAGAAATGTCTTTAATTCTAGAATATTTGTATAGACTTATTGGGTTACAAGGGTATAATTTTGCATTTAAGCTATACAACACTGGTGATGTGGTGTGCTCCGAGCCTCTACATGTGGCCCCAGCTCCTGCCCCAGATCCACCCCTGGTTACTGTTACAGTAGTTGGATTGGATGAACGTAGGGCTCTAGAGAGGCTGACGTGTGATCTAGTCAACAAGAGGGATAGGTAACTACTTTATTTCAGTCTTATCAACTAAGTATAACAGGATACAATGTGCCATAGTAAAAGGGGACTAGAAAATAGAGGTTACAGAAATTTCTATAAATTTCAGGTTAATAAGAAAAGTTGGTCATAAACTAAAAGAAATTGGTGCTTTATCAAATCCATTGAGAGCAGAAAAGAATAAGGGAGTGATCGAGGGAGCCCACACATTGTCCAGGATAGAGGAAATTCTGGAACACTGCTTCAGTGCCCTGGAACATTATACAGGGCAGCTGATTGCCCATGTCAGCTGGTCTTGTCCTCAGAGGCAGAGTGAGACCAGTGTGTCGGGATTTAAAGTTCTGATTGATGGGAAACAGTATGGAAATACCATGCATGAAGGAGTTAAACAAGTTCGCATCAAGGTAAATTAGTACTTGCTAGTATATATGTAACATTTTTTAACTAATGCTATTGACTATTAATGAAGAGTACCGACTTAAAAATAATAACACTTTGTAATGGTTCTGTATAATTATATAAGAAAAATCATTGAAATTCTCAAATTAGGTATGAAGTAAATAAAGTGCTTAGATTTTACTGTCAGCAAACAATGAAATATATCAATTTTCTGAAAGAGATTTAAGCCAATGAATGCTTTGCAATAATGAATTTTTAGAAGTAAATGAAAAGAAACTTTATAAAAACTTTCCATCAAAATCATTACAGTGTGAACAATATTTAATTTGTTTGGATGTTTTAGCTTGGAACAGAGCAGCCAATCTACAAACTGACTATGGTTTCTGTGTCAGACAAACCGCAGGCCTCAAGTGCCGAATCAAACGCTGTCGATCTTCTGTCAGAGACCTTCAGGCCCTTCTCATTCTACTGCTATCACAGTATTCATAATCAAAATGCAAGGTAACATTTCTATCGACAGGATTTATGTCAAAAAAGACAGATATATGAGATCTTCATAATTTAGTAAAATTTTGACAATTAACTTTAATTTAAATCTTACCTATAAGGAACATTTACACGTTCATCCTGTAAAATAATATTTTAATTTTCTTTTCTGGCAAAAGTTTAACACAAAATTTTGGAAACTCTCAGAGCTGTGTAGAAATTAAGAAAGAAGATTTATTGTTACAGTAATATAATTCAAAAATTTATTTTTCTTAAGGTGGCCAAACCAGGGATGCTGCAAGTATCAGGACTCTGTGATGTATGAGCGACAATTAGCCAAAAAACTAGCCAATCAGGGTCTCTTAAAACGCAAAGTCCCTCCCCCAGCCTGCAGCTTGCTGGACATATTCCAGGGTGACTACAAACCCTTCCTAGGGACTCACAACAAACAGTTCCCAACTGCCATACTCTTCTGGACACCATGGTTAGTTGTAAAACTGAAAAAAGATGGGTTGAAATTGTCCAGGGAGTGCATTATTTTCCGTGATTGTGGAAAACTTCTAGATTGTTTGAAAGATTTTGGACAATCATTTTGTGAAATGACTAAAATGACTTCTTGCCTCTTTGGTGCTAAGATAAAAAGATTTATTGGTGAATCAAAATTTTATATCGAGATTGTAGGTAAAATATTTCTTTATTTTTTTTTTCATTTGATTATTTCTTTCATCAGGTGTCATGGATCTCAGAAAGTCATGTCACATTATGCACGTTTTGCCCGCGAAGGAGCTTCTGAGGTAATAAAGAAACTAATGTAGAAATTGTTATTTAGAAAAGGTCAGAATGAACAAAAAAGATGGGTTAAATTATAAACCCATTGTTTTGCAAGATTAAAGTGTGTTTCTTCCATATTTTTAGTGACGCTATAATACACAAATGTAAGAGAATGCATACTCAGAAGCTACTCTTGATGTGTACTTTCAGTATAACTTTATTGCTGTATCATGTGGAGTGGAAGCTAACCATGCCTCAGACAGAAAATCCTTGATCCACTCCATTACATCCAATGGCTGGAGGGAACAAGGTGTTATTTGGCATTGTACAAGTCAGTGTGCATCCCCTATTGATGAAGCTAGCAGTGTCTGGAAAAACAGCACTGCAGGTAAGGAATTTTGGGTAGTTTTATCTTTTAATCCATGCAATAAACATTTTCCTTTACTATTTGTATCATTGTGTTTAAAAATTTAATTTATAGTTGAAATTTGAAATTTTCTTCTTTAATTCAATTGTTTTTCCTTTCTCCATCAAGGATCTGCTCCCAGGAATGATATAGAGAATGGAAAAAAGCACGTAGATTTGACAGAAATTCTGGGAATAGCTGGTGTGCCTACTTTCCTGTTTATTCATGCAGATGGTATGGGTTTATTGATAAATTCACTATTGATACATGTAAAATTTATTACTGAATTCTTGGACCTGTATCAACCAATGACAAACTGTCTATATCAAATACATTCTTGCGGCTCATCCAAAAAAACAAAAAAAAATGGATAAAATTATGCATGAAGAAAAGCTTTCAAATTGATTTGAATTTTAAGTGATAAAAAATAATTTCTTGACTTGATTTTTTAGGGTACATTGCCTGGCATGGTCGATACAGTGCCTATGACTACGCATCTTTTGCTGCCTTTATGAGGCACACGTTCAGTGAGGTTCAAGGAGTGGGTTGTCCTGTATTCCAGTGTGACTCTTGTAAAAATGATATGACCATTGATGATGAGTCTCTAGGTAAGACCCCCTGTTTGGCTCCTTGTTTTGGGGGTTTCTCACAATTGTGCAATAGTTCATAATCAAAAACTGTTTCAAAATGATATTGATTTCAAGTGATGTCATATCAGAGGTGACAGGATGGTCTAGAAATTTGTCAAATTCAGAACTTTCTCATTTCATTTTTTGTCAGAAGGCACATATACTGTTTCAGAAAACATAAAGCACAAGCTTGCCTGTCTACCAAATTGACATTTTTTCATGCACTTGTATCAAATACATCTTGTATATGAAAATCTCAGACAGGCAAGTCTGTGTTTCCCGAAGTAAAAAGGATATCAAAAAGTGACAAGATATTAAAATTTGGAAAGTTTGATGATATGTACTAATTTGTTGCTGGTTGCTTCAACTTAGTCTTTGAATCAAAATCAATGCTGATTTTCAAACAAGCATCATTTAAACTTCATTATTGCAAACTTCACATTTTAAACCCTTTTTTTGTATCAAATAAGGAGCCATATTCATTATTTACTCTACCTTGTCCTTTGTGAAAAAAAATGTGTTCTTGGTTATAAATAAATACCAAATAACTATCTTGCAAAAAAAAGATGTCACAAAAATTTTAACCGAAGCTCAGATTTACAACAATTGTTCTTATATTTATCCTATTGTTAAGTAAATTGAAGATTCTAATTCCTTTTAGAGGTTCATGGTTTTAAAGCCATATTTCAATGTTTCTTTTTTGCAGAGCCTGTGTTGCAATTGGTAAGAGAGAGTTCCACTTCAGCTCTGTCAGCACCACGATACATAGAGGAACGTCGCCCTCACTCTCCCAAAAGGGCAGATTCCCCCACAAATGTTGACCCTCCCATTGACAGAATCTTCATGAAGAAGCGTCCTCGCAGTCCAAAACGACACAAAAAGATTTCCGTCAACCAGCGTCCATTTTCTGCCTCCAGTGTCACCCAGGCACCTTCTCATTATGTCCAGTTGTTAAAAAGTCCTTATATGCAGAAGACAGTTCCCTCTCCGAAGGTTCTAAACAAGCTTTTACGTCCTCAGAGTGGAGGAGCAAGGCTTGGCTGAGGCTGTGGTCCTCAAATCTGAGGAGTGATTGGCTGAGAGGGTGGTCCTCAATTCTGAGGAGTGATATGTTTAAGTTCTGAGGAACTGATGTAAAACTTGGTGCCAAGAAAAGTTGACAATTTGTACTAATTAATCATGCTGTAATCAGAATTGAAACTACACAATGAAGAAATGCATTTGCTTAAAACATTCTTTATGTGATTTAGATTTAAAATTTAATTTATTTTTACATTTTGTTAACTACCACATGTCAATGGGTGTGCAAGAGGGATTTTGAAATAGCTTTTTTTGCAATTTTTTTTTTCAAATCATTTTTCATTTTGAACACATCAACATTGAGAATGACATCCTTTTTTTATATTTATTTTTTACAGGTTTACATTGTAGAAATTTTAACAAATTATCTGTGATATTTATGAGGTTAGCAGGTTGAAAGCTAGCATACATTTGTTAGAGTGTGAAAATCAAAATTGAATTAGTTTTTGTAGTAATCATGATATAGGGAAGAATTTAATCAATTTAATATTTTTTTGTAGTTTGAGGCATTTTTGCTAAAACCAAGTAATCAAGATGTTTTGACAAGAGAAAAGAGCTTTTAATTTAAGATATTTTGTGTTTTCTCAATGCTGAAGTAGGTTGTTCTTGATAGTATAAATATCTTTACATGATTTGTTATAGATTTACCTTTATCCGTCCTTTTATATGTTATATAATTTTAAAAAAATACATACATATATTCTTGCCTGTGATAAAGTATTATTTTTTGTTGATTTTGAATAACTCCTAATATTAATGCTTAAACACATCAACAGTACGTTTAGGTTAAAAAGAATGTGATATTATCTTTCCTGGCAGTGGTATGAAAATCTTCACGAGTCTGAGAAGTTGCTACATGTACTTTTTTCGATATGAGAGCTACATCCATTGTATTCTATTTGTTGTGTGATATATTTTACAAATTCATACTAGTTAATAAATTCTAAATTTATATGCTAGCTTATTTTTATTCTTAAAGCATTTATGCTGTAAAGATTGCTTGATTGTTCATTTGTTATTTTTCCAAGCCGGCAATATTTCAGACATACTTGGGCGATGTAAAAAAAGATAGGGGGCTGCCTCACAACGTTAACAGAACATGACTGAGTGTTCATATTGAGAGTTATGAATGATCTTACTAGAAAGAACTTTGTTATCTTGTTTAATTGGTTATCGTCTTGTTATTTCCAGTCAAATTATCCTTAGTAAACATATTATGGATGATACTAAGTCTGAATTGATGCATGCATCAATTGCGTTATGTCTGTATAAAGTACATGATAATGCATCATTGACTTTCTAGACAGAAACTCTCAGAACTGAGCTATCTTGTCACCAGCAAACCAATTTTTCTGGCAACCATGCTTGTTTGGAGAAAATTAAAATGTGATTTTGTTTCACTTTCTAATTCCCGTGGACAGGTCTCTAAGTAACACTACTAAGATTGTCTTCTATATACTCATGAACCTGTAGGAAGCAAATTGTTTGCTTGATTATAATGAGCAGGTAGCCCTCTACAAAAAAATATTCATTTGTAAAATTGATGCCTCCCAGACCAGGGATCAGGCTCCAGGATGGGGCTAAGTTGGTCATATATTGACATTTATTTTCTTTTGTGAGATAAAGTGGATGAAAATGATTATAGCCCTCATCCAACTATATAATCTCTGGACCAGTTCCTGGAGACCTAAAGTGTTCACAGCATGAGGAACTCATGATACTCAGCAGGAGGCAGTCAAGTTCAATGAGCTTTTTTTTTCTTTTTTTTCTTTTTTTCTTCTTTTTTTTTTTTTTTTTTTACAATTTCAGTCTCTTTCCTACAAACCCTTGATTAAACTAGAAGATGCTTATTTAAAATTAGTATAAAACTTTTTTTTTTTGGAAGTTTTGTGGAATCAAATCGTTTCTTAAAATGAAGGGCCATTATAACCTTCTTGAACCAAAATACAAGTAAAAGAGAAAGTGAGCTTGGTTGGTGATACATGTATTCCGAAATATTTCTCTCAAGTATAACAAAGCTTAAAGTTAGACTTTAAATTTGTTCTAAAATTTGTTCTAACACTAACCCCAAGGGTTGGTTTTGGTCACAGAAATAAAGGAGGGAATCATTTCTTAAGTTAATGGATAGATACACTCAATATTTCTAATCACCATATTTCAATACTGTCTTTGTTTTCAATTACAATTTCATTGTTTCTCACAAAATTTCCATTTCTTTCAGCTCTTTTAATTAGTGTCAATAGGTAACCATAAATATATCATGATTTCTTGAGATCCAAGAATCTAAAGATATTTCCAATATTTTAGATGGACACGTCATGTTAGACAGGGAGTCGCTGAATTTAAGTCAAATATGTTTACATATATTTGCCTCATTAATTAAAAATCAATCAAATTGCTAACAAATCTACAGGTATACATTATATAAAGGTTATGTCAAAAAAAAAAAAAGGCATGGTACAGGAAAAAAGGCTTCTTGTCTCCAAGAGAAATTCCCAGAATTTTTAAACTTGGACAACAGAGCAAGAAGAAATTCTGAATCAGTTTTTTTACTCCCGTACTAAAGGGTCGCAAGTTTTTTCAGGATAAGTGTAAAACTGGGCAGATGTGGATGAAATGTTTTCCAATTAACTTTCTTGTTCATTAGAAAGCAAGTAAATTCTTCAACTTTCTTTCTTACAGTGAACATTTTACAATTTTCGCTGTAAATTAAGCAGCTTTCTTTCAAAACCATTTCATCCTATTTTCTTGATGTCACATCTAAGTAATGATGTCATAGTTGATGCAATTTACAATTAAGAAAGTCATTAAAAATTAAGATTTTGCCTAAGTATTTTCATTACCTTTAATTGAAATGTACATGTAGATTGAATTCAAAAGTTTTATTTAGTTTTTTATAATTTCCTTATGTACATAATAATAAATAATTTAGAATAAACTTGCTCGTGCATTTATTAGACTGAATGTATATGTATATTCCACATTGTTATCATTTTTACAATTATGATCTACATGAAGTCAATCATTTTACGTTTGCATACTGCTTACTTTGAGGAATTCTTCAAGTCATTGGTTATCTTTTGCAATAATTAACACTTCATAATTTCTCTTGGATATATTTTAACCAAATGGTTCAAAGTGAGACACTTAAGAATTTATCAATTTAAATCCAAAATAAAATGTACATAGGTGTAATAAATCTTAAATTTAATACCTCAGTTACTCAGTATAGCATTGCATGTAACAGTCAGATACACTATATGGCTTACATCAAGTTCATTAAAGCCAAGATATTCAAATGAATATATTCCTCTTATATATGAGGAGGATGTCATTTAGTTTGAGAAACCCTTTTGTGTTGCTTGTATACACCACTCTTGATCCACTCCTTTTGTTCACACTCCAAACACATTCATTCCTTTCCCTTTTGTACATAAATCCTGCTCCTTGCCAAATTATGTAAGTGTTTCTCCTTTTGTGACCTACAACAAACAAATAATGAATATGCAATGCAAGAAACTTGATTTGTTTATTTTTATCTTGTTTTATAGATTTTATATTCTAAGAAATATTGATGAAGACTTTTTAGGAATATACCCTGGCCTCAATGTATTCCACTCTTCTTTCCAAATGGGTCAGTTTTTCATTCAGGGTTGCAAGTCTAGATCTGCAGGATGTATCTGAAAATGGTGAAATAAAATATTTTTTAACATATAAATCATGTTCAGTGTATTTCTTATACCTTGTTCAAAACTGTCCTAGAACTATACAATCCTGGCATTAGTATATATCAAGTCAAAAGTGCCAAAAAATCATCATTAGATGTTTATAATTGCAATAATGGGCTAGCAAATGTTGAAAATAAGAGCACCACAAACCAAAGCTTCTCCCAACACTGATTTCATTTATGACATTAATCACAACAATGAATAAACTGATATGGTGTTTTCAACTGTATCAATATACATAGAAAACTTTTAAGCATTTCAAAGCAGTTCTCAATATTTTGAATGCATTCTATCTTTCCAAATGTGCAACACTTTAGCTTAACTCCTTCTTGTTTTTGATATAAAGTTTAATAATTTGTTTTTGATATAAAGTTTAATAATTAGCACACCACTACATTTACTAGGTATGTAGCTTAAATTACCTACATGTATGTAGCTTTATTTAGCTATTTTAATACAAGTTAATTTTCACAAGTTCACTTTTATTTATAATTAAAAAAAAATCCCAAGTATGTAACTACTATTATTTGCAGTATGGAGTTTTAAAATCAACCCAGAGAAAAGATACTAGTAAAGACATTGCTGCTTTTGAACACTTTTAAGAAGAGATGTATTTCTATTGTACACCATCTTGTGTGCAGTATAGCAAGTAAAGTATGATTACCTTGCATTGTGCTAAATTATTACTAATCAATTATCATGTTAAAAACTGGTCTTCTTTGTTATTTCATTCAAGAAGTAACTGTCTGGCCACAGATTAACTTTTATTTTTGATTGCAATTGCACTGAAGGAGACGCATCTCCGAGAGTGATTATACAAGATCTGTTGAAGATTCAAGATACACAGAGAAAAAATTCTCTCATAGGCACTTCACGGCAAATGAAAATATGTTCTCATAAAATAAACATTATACATAGCCAATATGGTAATTATAATTTTATTCATCAACTGGGGGATGCCCATAAGAGAAGGGATGGAGACTGGTTTGACTGGCCTAGAACCTGTTCCAAATGAGTCATGGTACTGGTTCTTGTTTTTAACAATTGAATACTTAGTCTCCCATTGTTAACAGTGCCGAAAGTGACACATTAAGGGGATGAAGGACACATGGTCACGTGACTGTTTAACTACGTCATAGTCTCCGTTTATATAAGTGCAAAACGTGTAAAGCATCAGTTCTTGTATAATTTTTTGACCATTTTTTTCTTTAATTACCATCTAATATTAAAAAAAATGAAAAGTTTAATATTCTTCCAAACATTAACAAATTATGAAGAAAAAAAAATCCACTCCTCCGTTTCCCTAAACTGCGTGTCCAATTCGTCGGTGACGTCATACACGATCTGTTAGTACAGCAAGATCATACTCGGTGAATACAGGGGCGGTATTATTATGTAAAAACAGGTCATAATCAGTATATGATGAAATATTTTGAGAAACGGGGAGCACAAAAATTATTTTTGCATGGCTGATGACGGAAATCTTATGTAGGTATATCTTATTTCGCTTATTTAGCTTACGTGTGACATCATAGATGATTTTTCCCGTACTCGAGAAATGTAAACATGACACGTTTTTGTCATGCTTATGTCCTCTTTAACGATGCCCTGTGCAATATTGAGGTCAGCTTCACCATTCGAAATTTTTACAGTTAATCAATAATTAGAAGGATTTGCATTTCAACGTAAATTTAAAAATATTGAATGATAGAATTTTTTGTGAATTACGTTTTTTGTTGTTTAAGTTGTGTTAAAAAGTTCGTAATTTTCCCTATCCAAATGCAGTGTGATAGAAGAAACTTGCTTTTTCGAATTTTAAACCCTATTCAAACTCTAAAATATTTTAAAAGATACATGTTCACTTACATATTTTTTATATATGCTTTAAAAATCCCATTATGGTCAGAGTAAAGAGCCCGGAAAAGTGGAGAATTAAAACTCCACTTAGATACTGTAGGGCATAGTATTTGTCAATCAATATCTCTAAAATAAGGTAAGAAACCTAATGATATAACTGCTTTAAGATATGTGGGACATACTTAATTAGAAATATACAAAATATAAAAAAAAATTGAATGACAAGTATTTTTTCAGCTAAAGGTCCTTCTTCCCCTTAATTCATCTTTATTTGTTTTCATGCAAAATAATTCATATTTCGTACCAGGAAATCCCCTCCCTATCTATTTTCTAAAAGAGACGCCTTATCTACGTCTTACCAAATGAGTTTAGAAAGTCTGATATCTTCTTAATGCTGCCAGTGATGACCTCTATGTACTCTCGGTTGGCCCAGTCCTGTTGGATTGGCCTTTGGTGGCTCTGAATCTGGCCTTGATTGTGGTGCGACATTGTTGACAATTTCCCGAATGATGCAAGTTACACGAACTGTCATTGGACCACGCAATTTAATTAACCAATCAGAAAGCAGTTATCATATCAAGCGTACAGAACATAACTTCCGTTAAAATGGCACCATAATTAATTCATCTTGTCTTTTGACTCTACTACTGAACACTCTCAGGTATTAATGAAGAAATGTCCACAATTATTTTAGTTGTGATTTATATAATTGATTCAAGTACATAGTGTATGAAGATTAATGATATGTTCAATCATTTACAGTAATGTTTTGGTAATCACTGGTAATATTCAATAACATGTAAAAAGAAATTCCATCCAAGCTAAGTAACATTACACGTAAAGATATTATTTGTGAAAAGAAATTTCCAACGAAGAACGTAATTACTTCTGCACTATAACATGTACAATCTGATTCTGGCTCTAACACAGGTTGGGGACAAGATGGAGCCAATCAAATCACTGTGGAAGAATTTCATGTCAGAAGGGCACCGCCCTCCAGAAAAAGACTCAAAAGTTGTGGTCATTGACACCATCATTCATGAGCTTGAATACCACATCAAGGAACTGGAACGTATTTCACACGAAAAAGAGGTTGACGACAGACGTCGGAATACAGGTGTAGACTACAGTTGGTTAATGAGTACAACTCCTAAAGGTTTTGAAATCCCCCAACTTCAAAGACTAGAACTAGAAGAGCTGTGTTACAAAGTAAAACCAGATGAATGTGGAAAAATCTTGTCTTTATTTAGAGATGCTCTATTTAATGACCCTTTACCGTCCCATCTACCTCGAATCATGAGGTCCTGTATAATTCAGGTGTTAGAGCAAAGACCCAAGGAAGAAACCCTCAGCGAGTGGGTCACAAAGCGAACACTTAGTCTCACCAGAATCCGTCCAAATCCAAAAGTCTCTCCTTCACAGCAGGGAGATCCTGAAGCTCCAAGCCAAGAAGAAAATAGAAGATGTTACAGTACACCTATTTTACAAGCAACTACTGTCCAGGAATTCAGACAAGGGGTTGATACTCTACCTGTTTGAATTAATTTTCCTAGTCTTAATCAACAAATGACTCAAAGTAGATAAATCTTATTGCAGTGCTGAATACATTTTACAAATTGATTATTGTTGGTGCTAGATTTCTAAGTCAGCATATTTTTAGCTACTTATTTTAGTCTCTGTACAATTTTTGCCATAAAGGTTTAACCTAATCACAAGATGTCAAAATTAGAGCTTTAATGAATCATATTCAGATTCTGAATAGAAAGTCAAAAATTTACATATTTGATTAGATAAACTAGATTTTTATATGTACCATTATTGAATGTATATTAGAGGTAACAAAAATTCTTGCATCCATGTATAAATTGGTGATTTATTTTAAAGAATGCTTTGGCATTAGTAGTTTCCAGACAAGTAGTCTGTGATTATTCAAACAAATTGCGTACGAACAAGCAAAATACATGAAATACAAAGGTATTTGCTGAATGCTTCTCAACCCAATTTTTAGGGCAAACAAAGAGATTTTTAAAGATGGCCTTATCATGATTATTATGTATTTCAAATTTATATTTAACATTTGTTTTATATTTTCTATATTAAATTCAAAATGTTCAGTATACAAAGAAAAATTGTAAAGTATACAAAGAAAAAAGTCTGAAAATTTAATGTCGGATGATATTTTGATATTTCAGTACTCATATCTTCATCACACATAATCAATATTTCCTTATATCATCCTAGCTCTAATGAGTTGTGGGCCAAATATTACCATTTTACAATATTTGTTGAACAAATTTTTCCACTGCCAGTCATTATTCTTAAATTCTTTTTGAAGTGCGCCATATACATCTAAAATTCTATCAGGGTTGAATAATCATTTTATATCTTGAAATATTTATTAGAAATTCTAGTACAGCCTTCCAGTCAAATTTGGAAGGTTTATCAATGACACAACCATGAGCAAGATAGTGTTACAAAATTTGGTGTTTTTTTTTCTTGATTGTCAATGCTTATTCTAATGGTTAGTGAGTGAAAAATTAAATTAGAGTGTAATAGACAATTTATTGTAGTGTTTTTGATGTTGCTTTTTATCATGTATATTACCAAAACTCAAATAATTTTTGTTGTGGTTCATCATGTCTATAACAAAAATCAATCAAGAACAAAGAGAAAAATCAGCCTTTTTTATCTTTAATCTGACTGTGATTAAAACGTGTTAAAACTTAGAAGATAAATTCAATACATTAATAATCATATTTATATTTTAGATTCATATCATAGAAGCACCATTTTTTTTTGTCACATGAAGTGTACAATGTAAAAACATTGAAAGGCAGAGATGATATTTTTTTTCATACATTACTAATATCTGGAAAGCTTTACATGTAGGATTTGTCAGTCTCCATGCTCAACAATTATGATTTGCCCTAATTTTTTTTACATACAGAGTTTTGACATACATGTATCTTGAGGGGTTCTATATGAAGACGATATGCAGTAAGACAGAGCAACATAATGAATTAATGCATAATTATGGCAAAGACTTTTGTTCCCTGTAGTTTTAAATCATTTTTTGAACTTATCAGATTAGTTGAATTTTGTCTACATGAATAAATAAAAATTGTTTTTCCTTGGCTGTCCGTTACAAATTTTGAAACATGCTTACATGGGTAAAAGAGTAGTTTTTTTTTTTGTTTTTTTTTTTTTTTTTAATGAAGTAAACTGCTTTAATAAGGTTACTGAATATTGAACTGGAACATTCATCACCCTCTGAAAATCAAATATACTTGTTTGTCAGCAGAAAAGTACACTTATGTGTACATGCTCAAAGTAAAACTAGTCTATTTAGTGGGAAGCTTTTAAATTTTTTTTTTTTAAGCATACATAGGATTTGAATTTTGCTGAAAGAATTCCATTACAATATTCCAGGTGTCAGAGAATCATCTGGCACACAATGCATTCCAGAATAGATTTTTTTTATAACCAACGAACCAAAACCTAAAATAAAAGCAGAGAATTTTTCACCATAAAAGAATTGATTAACAGAACATTATTATTAATCACAATAATTCTTAAGTTAGCATTGTCCATGCCAGTCTTGTATGTTGTATTCAACAAGGCATTATTGTGTATCTATGTTATTGTGTTCTTACTTAAACTGGAGGTCATTTGTGTTATGTAAATGTAGCTTATGTTTGTAGATTCCTTTCCAAAGTGATTAGTGTTCAACATTACCTCATATTTTTCCAGAAACTTCCTGTTCGTTCATGTATATATTTTACCCAGTTTTGATAAATTTGATGTGCTTATATTTAATGAGCATTTTTTAAAATTATAATTACCTTGTTAATTGCTTGATTAAGGATGATTCCAATGTTGTTGTTCATTCTTGTAAAAGTAAAGTATTATTTACCAGAAATGTAATTTATTCTTGATATATTGATCAATTATCATGGAAAACATAGATATAGTGGACAATTTGTTTTTTAGCTCTGTTCAAGGACCGGGTGTGATAGCTCGGGGTAGGGCACTTGCTTGGTGAGTGGGAGGTCCGGGTTCTCTTCTCATTCCCGACACATGTCAAACATTCCTTTGACAAATACTTGGCATCAGAAGTAAAAAGTCACAGGTTTGGCTTAAATCAAGGTATCTGAGACCTCAAAACAAGGTCTCAAGGGTGGGAGGCATTGGCACAATAAAGAACCCTCACTGCTACGGCTGTAAGTGCAATGCATAGGTCAGAATTTATGGCACTTCACCTAAAGAAAGTGACATCTCAACATGACTGAAAAATCTTGACTGGGATGTGAAACAAGATGCAGTCAATGAATGGATAGGGTCAAGTTGAACTAAGCCCATATTTTTATTCCTTAAAAAATAGTAACTTTATGGAGAAACTTAAGACATACAGTGCAACAAAATAGTCAAGAAGTGTTGAAAATCTAGTGTAGACTCTCTAAAACTCCATAGAAATTTTTACAAATTTAGAAATCGAAAGCATCAAATCGTATGACTTTCCAATACTTTAAACAAACAGTCATTTTTAAATTAAACATCAGGCGAAAAGCCTGAACTACTGCTTCTTTAATAAAAATGGAACTCAGAAATTATCTTATTTTGTGATTGTTCATCTCCAAAATTACTTCATTAAAAATCGTTCGAATTCTACACCCAAGTACTCTGAAATTAAAAAGATGCTAGAGTTCCTCGTTAACAGTAAAATTGTAGCCTTTTGAAATCATGTATTCCAACAATCTGTTGGAAATCCAATGGGCACAAATTGTGCTCTTATTTAAATAGCCGACCTGTTTTACTAGAGTTATATGAAGCAGAATTTGATTTAAAAATGAAAAAGAAAAACTCCTACACATGCAAAACTCTTGTGTGGCTTTGAGATTGGATTGACAATCGGATATATTTAAAATTGGCAACGTAAACTTTGTCAATTATGTAAACCATATTAATTTTCATGCATATGGCGTCTTGATATATCTGAGGGAACTCTCTATAAATAACAGACACCCAGACTCTGCCATATCTGTTTCATACACTGTAAGTAGATGTATTGGCTACTGACGTTAATGGCACACTACGACTAAAATATTTGAGAAAAGGAATTACATATACTTCAGCTTTTCCATCGTCAACTTCACCTATTTAATACGTATATGTAGTAATACGCCCATATGGGGTTTATAACTTCCAGCTGACTCGGTACGCTCGAGCTTGTTCTACATATGAACAATAAAAGCCCTGCATAGTCAACTTGAAATAATTTCAATTTATAAACCGAGGTGGGCTACTTGCAAATTAGTTGATGATACAGGGCTTTCAACGGTCTCATTTTAAGCCAACATTTTGTAAATTTTATGGTTGTTATTTATCTGTCTGAATTTTCTCAACCAGAGAGCTGCAGTTCTGCATGCAGCTTCCTCTTTGTTGATAGTCGAAAGTTATTAGTTTTTTTTTTCTGCATCTCACTCCATTGTTTGTTGTTTCTCAATTTAAGAACGAAACGTATCTCCCTTTTTCTGTTTTCTGTCTGTGACCACAGATTTGTTTGGCTTTATATCAATCACACGGGCATTCTATTTTTCCGCTTTCGAAACTTTCAACATGGGGAAGACCCCCTCGAATTGTTTGGTTTTATAAAATTTCTATGTAAAAGAAACGAAAAAAATGATCTTGGACCCCCCCCCCCCCCAGCAGAAGACAAACAGGTCGACCTGTTTAAAACGGTAAGAAAATTGTCTATGAAAACAAAATGACTTAGGAAAGCCCCCCCCCCCCCCGCGCAATAGGATTTTCACGTTTTGAGTAGTATAGTGAGGGACATTTCGTGCTAATTTGAGGAGCCACCAAATTTGAGGAGGCTACGATAGATCACGGAAGTGTATTATAACAGGATAACAAGATCAGGAAGTCAAAAATCGGATATGAATAGATCAATAACACAAAAGTTTTAATCCTTTTAACAACTTAATCCGTTCATCAATACATAGAAGTAATATTTACATATTAAAATACTTTTACATCTGGTATTTTTAGGGACCATTTCAACAGATGTCGTGTAATGTTAAATCTACAGGTTTATAAGAACAAGTTTCATTGAATTAATTTGTCAATGTATATTCCAAGAGTATGTATGAAGTGTAATAAAGTCGGGGGAAAATATATTTGCTATATGTTCTGATGAGAGGAGGCAAATTTGATATTTTCTTTGTAAAAGAATGAATACAAAAGATTGTACCCAATTGCTCTGGATTAATATAATGCAATGAAAAAGATTGTAAGATTTGTAGGTGATAATACAATAACTAACGTTCCTTATGAGGATCGTAAGGGAGAATGGATGTTAATGGCTGTGGACAGATGTCGTTTTCAGAGACGGATCGATAGTCTATCACAAATCCTCGAACCAATACTTGAGAAACATTTAGTTTCATATAGATTAAGATACTCGTTCAAACGTTTAACGATAAAACAATATTAAATTGAACTGTATAGAATTCCGTAATTCAGTCCATTACAAATGAAATAAATAAAAGTCAGAATAGACCCCAATATCAAGAAGTGTTTTCCATTTAAGGTATATATTTAAAATACATGCTAGATTAAAAATATTTAAAAGATGTGTATCAAGGCAGTAAACATGATTCGGAAAGGATTAATGTTCATGAGTAATGTGCGATTGTATCTTATTATTTCACATCCTTGTTTGATGAAAATCAAACTTAATCATTAAACGTTTCATTTGACAAACTTCCGTTTGATCATTATTATACATGTATAAGATGTAGTCACTTGATCGTTATAAACCAATCGGAAAAATATTCGGAAATGACAGTGTTCCGATTTAAGATCTTTAAGTTTCTATTTAAATATATGTACATTCAATAAGCTAAAAACTTATCACAACATGTCTTCTACCCAGAACAGTCTACGTCTAAGAAACGAGTGATACATTCCAGCGTGTACATTAAGCAATGGTGAACGTCGAGTTGACGTACGAGAATGGAAACCAACGAAAAAATCGTTAGTTCCCTTCCAAGAAAGGCATCAGTTTAGACTTGCAGCTATTCAAAAGCCTAACGCTTGCAATTGATATGATCCACGCAGCCTTGAACAAGAAAGAAGACCTCCACTATCACATCCGTGCTAATATTTTCTTAACGGTAAAAGGAGACTGTCCCTGTGTTAACATAAGGAAATACTGGAAACCAGAGAATGAAGAAAACCTCATACATATCAAGAAGGGGATTTGCCTCCGTTCTCTCGAATATTTGAATCTAAAATCACATAGGAGTTGCATTGACAAAGCGGTTCCCGAACTTGAAAACACCGTACCTCATTCCCTGCAAGACGATCATCAAAATCAGCTAGGGATACTTCAATGTGCGATGTGAAATCCCTTAGAATACCAGAACTGGTGAAACGACTACAGACGAAATGTGTCGAATATTCTTTTTATGTGAAAACTCTACAAATCGTGTGTGACAATCATGCCTTTTTATGTTTTTGTAAACCTAAATTTTTTACTTTGTGTGTAAATTCGTATTAAGTTTATGTATTCTAATAAATATATGCATCAAACACAAGTCCATGATTTTTGTTACTTCATCATAACTCACTACCGGAATGCGAATAAATTACAAGCCGATTGTTGACAAAGCGTTGTGTCAAGCAAGTGGTGAAATTTGATCTGAAAGTCTCTTAAAAACGTCAAAAGATTTGTAATATGATGTCTTCTACAAAGTACCATCTAGATATAAACATCTGGACATTAATATATGTACATGATAAATAAATGAATGCAAAAACTATAAAGTATAAATCAATAAATGGTTTGTGCAACAAGGATTTTCATAAATGTAAATTGCGGAGTAGAACTTCATTAAAACACTCTCTCTTTCCTCCTCGTCTTGCTGTGTTGTGTATACTCAAAGTCATCGAACGATGTCGATCACGAACCAATACGACACATCGGATGAGGGGAGGGGTAGCAGGATGGTATTTATTTTGTTTTGAAGTCTTAGCAAAATACTGGTGTCGATAGCCGAATTTTGTAATCTAAAATAATTTATTATAAATAATTTGTGTTACTTTACACTATAAAATTATTCAAATGAAAGATACACCAAAGATGAGTGTTGTGTAATATTTAACATTGCTATCACCCCCCTACGGACTGTTGTTGGTGCGACTGATCCGAGAGACCAAAAACTGTTTTACTATGAGAGGAGGAAGGGGGTTAGTGTAGATACACTATCAACACAACATAACTAACCATTCGCTAGTTTCAATTAAGCTAATGCTTATTTATTTCACATATAAAAATGTAAAAATAGAGAATGGAGATCAGAAATATGTGTTAGTCCTATGGTGAAAAATAAAGAAAAGAGGTAGACACAAGGGATGGGATTGCGCTAACAACAGTCTTTTCAACAAAATCAAAAGGAAGAAGCTTGAAGTAAGAGATGTTTAAAACTCTCATTGATGGGATAGTCACGGCAAGATGTAATAAAACAAGCTAGATTTTCACATCGGATTCAATATTTTCTTGCCTAAATATTAGACGATTCTGGAGACCACGCCAAGAGGAAGACATCGTGTGGGAAAAAAGGAGGTTTTTTTTGTCTGACCCACAGAGTACGAAAAACTGAAATCTCTCTTTAGCGAAAGACAACAAGCTTCCGAATCAGACCTACCTTGGTTCCTTGCTATCTAATAGATGGTTATTTGAATGAATTAGGCGTGCTATTTTGCCCCTATCGGATCAATGAGAGTACCAGAACTGGTGATGGAAAACTGAATCAAAATGTGTGTAATATCCAAACATCTTTAAATAATTATATTTTCATGTTCGTGAGACTCGCGGAAATGTTATCATGTATATACATATGTAATTGACAA